CTGAACGCATAATAAAAACTGAAGACGCAATGCCACTTTTGCGTCTTCTGTTCAGACCGTCATCATACAAACGTAGCTTTAGTTGGTCAAAATTCCAAAATGTGAAGTTAAAAATGTACGATCATCACAGTAATCTGCACTAAGGTTAGACAAATTTGACTCTTTTATATACATAAATGGGTACAGTCTCTTTTGGATGGCTGCTCTTAGAATAGCGCCAGTTTGAGTAAAATGTCCAGGCAGGTTATCCAGGAACAAGGCGGGGTGATTTGAGGAAGCTTGGCTCTCTCCTCAGCTGACTCTGCATATCACAAGCACCACCGTGATCCAGGCCAATCATTTTAACCTGCTTATTACGCTCAGATCCAAAAGGAAAGGAGCGCTGCCTTTTACTAGACCTGGTTTTACGCTACACTTGGTCAATGTTACGCCAATTGTACTTTTACTGCAGGTACTTCAAACGCTCATGGGCACGGCTGAATAAAAGTCATGAAGTCATTTGATTAACAAAACAGGCCAACTGATATAGAGAGAGAATGTGGAAATATGAAAGTATCAGTTCAGGAGAAAGTACAGATATTTGATTAAAAGGTGCATTGTGTAACTTTTCTGGTAGAGGATCTGCTACCTGCTGGGCTTCATAATAAGTGTTTTATTTCTTGAATGTTCCACAGTATGCAACTTTTCTATCTCTTATTACTGCCACTGCCACCTTAACAAACCCAAACAATTTTCCCAACACTTCCCAACACACTACCAAAACTTAAAGGTTGTATGGAGGATTTTTTTTTGTTTCAAATTGTCAATGAAAGTTCAAAATAACATTATAGAGACGCAGCAGCCTTGTAATTATCATGACCAAAAAAAGAATAAAAATCCATCACCTGCGGACGTTGTGCGACCAGCTAAACATAAGCCAATAGATAACAAGATAACTAGTGTAACTGACTTGCCGACGCGCTGGGATTACTTGAATGCAACATGGAACAAAAATTATTTCCCAAATTTCAAAGACCTGCAAATCATGTCAATAAATGGATGTATTTCATCATATCTTGTGTTATTCCATCTTTGAACTGTTGATGAAGGTACATGATTTTAAAAAAAAAAAAAAGTATTTAAAATGATAAAAATTTGCTTGGAAGGACTGACATATTTTATAGAAATAGTTTCCTTTCATTTTGAAGTAATATTAAAGTATTCAGAAGAAAAAAGCGACAAATGATGTAAAATCATGCACCTTCTACTTGTTTGCACAATTTTCCCTCCGTTACTTTTCCCTCCGTTACCATGACCTTTCTTAATAAAAAATCTCATGACTCAAAAAGTAAGAGATTTTTCAACCTAATCTTGTACCATATGGTAGAAAACTATATGAAGCAAATATTCAAACCAGTTTGTTAAGGATATGGAAGTGAGAACCAAGAGTTATCACTGTTTGGATTTATTGCCCAAAAAGTGCTGCATATTTCATTCTCTCCATTACATGAGTTTTTAAATTTTTTGTCAACAACTTGAAAGAATATCACAGGTTTAACTTGACCCTGTTGGAGTGTAACTCTTTCCTACATTCTGATACTTTACTTATTTCAATAGTTCCTCTAGTTTCTGAATAAGAGACATTTGAATGTCAAAAATCTGCCCCTGTTTCCCTCCGTTACCACTTGACCGGACCCAGACATTACAGCTCTACCTTACTTTTATTCCATTACAGGTGGTTTTATAGCTCAAAAATATCGAGAAAAACTGACATTCTGACTGTGAGTGGGGTCATCTTTCCACAGATCTGACCTGTAATTTGGTCTGATTTGGTCTCCATGAAGATCGAGAGGTTTAAGGGCCGCAATAGCTCAGTTAGTAGAGTGTTCATCCACTGATCTGAAGGTTCAAGGTTCGAATTCTGCTCTCGACATAAACATCATGGGCTGAGTGGTCAGATCCAAAGATTGGTGTGATTCCAGTTCCCACAGTCATTGTGTCCTTGGGCAAGACACTTAACCCACTTGCCCACAGTGTCTGCGTACACTGGTGTGTGACTGTGTGTGGAAATGGGTGAGTGGTTCTTTGTTGTAAAGTGCTTTGAAGATAGAAAAGAATTTACCATTTAATATCATACTGTGACAGACAAAGCAAGAATATCTCCATGGGAAAAAGCATTTGACGGACCCTTAAACAGAAAAGTTACACAATGCACTTTTAAATGATCACACCACGTACAACAAATCACTCAAAAAAACATTCCATACCCCATAAACTTCACCATCTCATTACATGCGCCGCTTGTTCACGCTTAACGCTTGTTCAAGTCAGAGTCTAATCAGCCAATCACGTGTCCGGAATTAATGCGGAATCGTGCCTTGTTTATCTGCAAACAGGGAGGTCAGTGGGGGGGTGCCGATGTACACAGATGAGAAAGTCACTGCCTGTTTACGCATGCAGGAAGTACTGAAGACAGCAGAACATGTGCAGCCCCTCGTGTTAGAATGAGATGAGAATACAACACAATATTACTTCAATTAACTAAATGCCACTTCAGTTTCTTTAATTGGTGAGAAAATAAGTGCAAGTTTGTACAAGGAACACTTCACAATAGCTGTAATAAACTAGGACTAAATAAGGTCTAACCCCGGACTAAAACTAGTGATGGTGAGATGAAGCCCCATGAAGCACTGAGGCGTTCCATCCATTTGCTCGACTCTTGAGCCGACGCTTCAAGGTGCTTCATTGGCTCCACTGCGCCATCAAGTGGCCAAAAAATGTATAACAGGCAGAGTGATAATAGAACCATCAACATGATCATTGTGGTTCTGATGGAAAGATTTATATTGGACCAAATGGATGATTAAATATTTGAATGTTTGTGCTATCAACATAAATTGTGAATTTATTAACATGGAGTCTGTGTTCATGATATAATGGTCGGGTTAAAAGAAAAAGTACACGCTTCACCTGATTTTTTGTTTTGTTTTGTTTTTTTTACAAGAAATATATTAGACCAGGGGAAACAGTGTGTTTTCAAATTTGTGTATTTAGTAACATTGTTTATTTAATGACGTTATTATTACTATATACTTTATTAGGAGATATCAGCTCAAAATATTCCCAAACAGGGGAAAATATTATTTTTCTTGCTGGCTCTATCGCAAAAAATAAATAAATAAATAAATAAATAATCTCAAATTGAATGTACCAAACTCACAATAACCCAACAACACAAAATGTGAGGGGGAATCCGTTGCGTTTCTTTGGCCCTTATGTTTCGAATCGCACGCCAAATCCGCAAACCCCTTCCTGAACCAGTCAAATGGTACGGGCGGTTCGCGAGGCTTCGAACGTCACCACATACGTCACTGATAAAAGCCTCGATACGCACTTCACCAAAGCCTTTCTGGATTACTCGGACACACGCTTCGAAGCCTCGACACAGAGGACACATCGCTAATTAAAACAGGTCTAATCGAGGTAGGGCTGCAACAAGATATCAAATCATTTAGGAATAAAATAATCGTCAAAAAGCCCAAATTACACTTTTTACAGATCTATGTTTTAATGTTGTTTCCTCAACACAAACATACCTGGAGTTGTGTTTTGTTTCATTCACACGTTTTGCATATTTACATTGCGTTCATCTCTCAAACAGAAAACACTGTTCCACCTTGTGATGTCATTTGGCAAAACAGGAAGTGCTCCAGTGTGTTATTAAAATACATTGCTGGGTTTCAGATGGGTAAAAATGCAAAATTATGTTCTAATAAGGTGAGTTCTTGGGTTTGGTCAATAATAGGAAATACCAAGTTCAACATTTGTGCATTTACCTTTTGGATATTTCGTGGTAAAGTACAATGTAATTAATAGGGAAAACTGGCCTTTGCCCCATCTGCGAGTACGACATCATCACATTCAAGAATCTGAAAAAATTTTGATCATTTTACCCTTGGAATTTCCGATCTCTTTTGAAAATGTAGCTGCAAACTTGAAAACTGCCACTACATGACATCACAAGGTGGAACAAGGTGGAGTGTTTTGAGCTTTGGAGATGTACACAGACCAATAAAACCAGGATTACTCAAACACTTGAACGAAACAAAACACAACTCCAGGTCTGTTTTTGAGGCGGTGACAGCGTTAATATGGCTAAAAGCTCAAAAGAGACAATTTCACGTAATATGGAGCGTTTAATTGGTCTATACAAAGGCTCCAAAACGTGCCATGAGCCGACGGAAGAGGTTTTATAAGTCAGTAATTACATCAAAAATAACACAGGAAATGTGGTGTTTTTGAACGTGTCTCTGTAAAAATATACTCCATCAGGATGTCCTCAAGCGCCTTCTCTTCAGAGTTATCTGGGTCAAATTTGGCAAAAATCTCATATCTATGTTCATTTTGTGTTCTAAACAACATTTTGTGTTTTAAAAGCATTTAAAGCTGCCATCCGTAATTAGATTGGCCAACCCGGACCTGTTGTATTCTCACATATCACCACTAGAGGCTGTCTAGGTTACTGCTGTTTGATTGACAGTGTGCCAGCTTTGGCCTGACAAAACAAAGCAGAGAAGACAGGTGAGACTGAACAAAGGCCAGGTGAGGGGAGATGGGAGGGGTTTCACATCTGCCATCTTCGGGTACACATTTTTTTTTATAAATAAATACATAAATAAACTTACGGAGGGTAGCTTTTACATCAGTATTTTAGATTAAAAATAGTTTAAAGCTGAATGTTGTTGTGTCAAACCTCAGTCTGCATATTCACTGAGCCTTGGACAATCAAAACAGGAAGTGAGGTGCCATACTAATATATCAGTAGATTTAGAAAGTGCACTCAATTACAAGTAGAAGTACGAGTTTAGAAATCTACTAAAAATAAAATAAAATACAATTGCCCCAAAAATCTTCTCAATTACAGTAACCTGAGAACTTGCAATGAGTTACTTTCCACCGGTACAATACAGTATATGATGTGCATGTATAGTAGTAGAAGTAGTAATAGTAGTAGTACTTACCGTAGTGGCCGTAGCGTTCGTAGTAGTCGGAGCACCCTCAGCATGCCCAGGATCTTGGTGCCGGAGTTGGAGATGAGAGAAACCAGGATGTCTATGACGGAGATCATCACCAGCATCCCATCCAGAACATTCCAACTGCTCCTCAGGTACGCCTTGTCCCCGAAACACCAGCCCAACGCCACGATCTGCAAACAACAAGGGACAAAAGGTACATTCTTACTTCTTCTTGTTTTGTGGAAACAGTCTACCTTTTCTTTTTTTGGTGTTTCAAGAGGAGGTATTATACAAAATGGTCTTTTTGAAGCTTTCTACCATGTTATAACATTGATTCCTCATCAAAAATATGCCTGAAGAGGTTATAGATGTCATCCATAAATGTTTGAGTAATCTTGTGATCTCCCTCAGACCCTGTTTGAACCATCCTTACGGTTAGCAGAGTCAGAACCTCACTGTTAGCATCGCTACTTCCTGTCCAATTGTGTATGTATGAGTTTTTTTTAAAGCTTTGCTAAAATGAATAAGCTTTTAAAAATAAGGCCGTAAACACTGAGTGGATGTCTGTGACAACATGTTAAAAACTACATAAATAAAGTTACTTTTTACAAAGGTAGAGGTTTGTGTCTCAATGCTAACGCTAATTCTGAGTCATAAAAATTATTAAAACAGCACCACAAAGTGAAGTCATCTACATTTATAAAGAATTGAGCAGTCTTTCATTATTTGAATTTTAATTGTTGTTTATTCAATATTTTACACACAGTGTTGGGGAGTAACAGATTACATGTACTGGAGTTACGTAATCAGAGTACAAATTATGAGTAACTGTATTCAGTTACAGTTACTGTTTCAGTGAGTGGTAATTGGATTACAGTTACTTTGTTGAAATAAATGGATTACATGGCGGTAATTTCCTGTTTTCCTGTTTTCACATTATTTTTATTTTATTTTTTTGGTAATTCCACTCATTGCTGGAAACTAAACCAGGTCTAAACCAGGACTAAAACAGGATTTAACAGGATTTAACAGGAATAAATCATGCTGCTTGGACATGTCTCCTCCTTTTCTATCAATAATATTTTTTATCCGGTGAAGTATCCTCGTCTTTGCTTCTCTACAGCAAATCAAGTAATCCAAAGTATACAGATTACGTTACTCACCTTAAGTAATTTAATGGATTACGTTACAAATTACATTTTGTTGTATGTAATCTGTAATCTGTATCGGAATACATTTTTAAAATAACCTTCCCAACATTGTTTACACATTTAATAAAAGTGACTGCTAGATTAGAAACACAGTGAGCTAGCTAGCGTGCTCCTGTACACAGAGCCTATTTAAGTTCTGGAATAATAAAGGCAAAGCACTTTTAATGTATGTAAATTTGACTGAAATATGTGTGTCTGACCATGTTTGAAATGAAAAAGTTGATTTTGCAAAGTGCAGCTTCTTTAATGAGGCAAAGTCAATGCACACAAGTTTATATGCTGTTAAAATGAGCACGGAACGATCCATAAAAACACGGCCCATTTTCAATTCTATAGGCGCCGTTCATTGCGTATTCTGCACGTGAAGCAAAATGAGCATCGCATAAAATATTAGACAGTAGTGGACTTTTTCTTTTACTTAATAAATGAGGCCAAATCCTGCACATCGACAACTTTTTTTGCCCCCTGCACCTGTTTTCGAACGAAGACACCAAACTGTTAAAGGGCCCATATTACACTATTTTTGATCTATGTTATAATGTCGTTGTCCTCATCACAAACATTCCTAGAGTTGTGTTTTGTTTGTCTCACTCCCCGCAGTTCAAAACAACCGGTTGAACCTTGTGATGTCATGAGGTAATCATCCAGGAAGTGCTTTTACATACACAACCACTGGACTTGTATGATTAATAATAGATCAGGAAAAACATATAAATACATTCACGCATGTTTAACACACAAACCCTGCATATTTGTGTACATTTTGGTTCCTCTCTCAAATAGAAAACACTGTTCCAACTTGTGATGTCATGTGCCAATACAGAAAGTGCTCCACAGTGTTTTTAAACTCCATCCAACTTCACTAGAATCATGTGGATAATTTCAGATCTGGAATTTCTGATCTATACTGAACTAAAGGTAAAACTGTTAAATAAAAAACAAAAAACTACAGCTTCATGACATCACAAGGTGGAACAGAGCATTTTGAGCTTTGGAGATGTAGACAGACTAATAATAAAGGATTGCTCCAGGTCTGTTTTTGAGTAGGAAACATTATAATCATGGATTAAAGGATCAATTTAGTGTAATATAAGACCTTTAAAAACACATTTATTATGAATTCTTGTGGCTTAATTCTCTTTTAAACATGCTTTTGGTCACCTTCGAATAAGTATTTTACATTTTCTAATATAAAATAATGTCTGAACACTTTGTAAACTACACATCTGTTTCCAATGAGGCATTTAGGTGTTGGAGCTGAACCTGAACAATGAGAAAACAAACAAATGTCCTTATTAAGTCCTTATCCACTTTATTCCTCCCCGCCCACTTTTGTCTCTAAACGCTCCTAAATTGCGTTTTTCTGTGGTGGCAATTCCGGTTAAATGGGAATCCCATTCATGATCCCAGAGAATTTGGGAAAAGTTTAGCATCTTAAACATGACATAAAGTCGGCTCATTTGTGTAAAATGTTCAATGTTCAGTAAACTGAACCGATTCTCTGGGGGGCTTTAAAACTTTATCGTCCGTATTGAACTTATTTGCTGTTGGGATCGGCGGCCCCATACAAAATAATCCAACTCAAATGATGTTGGCAGCACCCACGGTGACTTCCGCAATAATGTGGATACCCCGTGAATGCTAATAGCACCCACAATTGACCACAGGAATATAAGTATAAGTCCCGTGATGGGTTATGGGTTTAAAAAATGCACTGGAGATGTTCAGATTTTTTACCATGACGCAACAATTTGGGCAAAATACAAACTGAACTATGTGTTTTTGAGTGCTCAGAGAAGTCGACTTTGGATTAACGGATTCTTGAAAGTGTGAATGAAGCAAAATACAACTTGAGGTATGTTTTTGATGAGGGGACAACAGTATAACCAGTGAATGCTTTAAAAATGTATTTAGTTACAAAAATACTAAATAGAATACCTCAGTTAGAATGTATTTTGTAACATATTCTGATACATGGTAGAATCACAGTACTCTGTAGTTCGAGATGTACTTTTAGTCCAAGTTGTATTATACTATAGTGTGAAAACATACAAACAACTTATTTTTCTTATTACATTATACCAAAATTACATGACGTATTCCTTTTAATTTAGGGAAGTAACTATATTCTGAATAACCTTAAAAGAAAAATTAACTGTACCGGGAAACAGCTACTCAAAATGTATTCAGAATATGTATGATGTATTTTCAGTACATACATTCTTACTTTCCAACACTGAGTATAATGTTGTTAAAAGGTTAAAAAAAAAAGTTAATTATTTTCACAATTTGTGCCTTTTTTTTGGTCATTCTGATCTCAAGTTTCTCCATTTCTACAAAAGAATAGAGCCTTTTTATTCTTGTATTTTTTGGTTTTGATGCAGTTTTTTTTTTTTTTTTTCGCTACATTATTATTATTATTATTTATTTATTTATTTTTCCTTTGTGTGTGAGTGGCTTAGGTTCTATATTATGTCAAAATAATAATTAATAGTAATGTTTTTTTTTGTTTTTTTTTTTTGTATAATATGAAAAGAAAAGTCTTACCTTCACTGTCATCTCTGCTACGAATATGGACGTGAAGATGTAGTTGGACAACGTCAGGAAGATCCGCTCCTGTAGAAGAAGAGAAATAAAGTTGAGAAAAAGCTTACGCACAAAAGCTGTGTTTATTTTCGCTCCATCCAGGCTACAGCTAAATAATGCATTATGGAACGTGCACCCTTAGACAATGAATATTTAGCAAACCGTCTGTGGCTCTCGCTAATGATGACTGGAAGCACATCTGAAGTTTACTGTTTACAAGTCCCAGGGCCAGCTAATACACTATTCAGTATCAAAAGTTAACAAAACAAGTGGGTCACCTGTTTCCCTCAATGCAACATGAATCTGTAATGATGGCGAAAATATTAAACGCCCTAGATTACACGAACTTGACTCTTGTGAGCTTTAAGCCATCTTAGAATGTTGGTGCATCATCAAAAATATTTCTCGAGTTGAGTTTTGTTTTGTTCATGCACGTTTGAGTAATCTTGGTTTTATTAGTCTGGCTACATCTCCAAAGCTCAAAATGCTCGTGAAGCAGTAGTTTTCAAGTTTCTTTTATCTTTAGTTCAGTAGAGATGGGCAAATCCGGCTCTGAAATGATCCAAATGATTCTAGTGAAGGTGTATGGAGTTTAAAAACACAGTGGAGCACTTTCTGTATCACCACATGACATCGCAAGGTGGACCAGAGTGTTTTCAGTTTGAGAGAAGAACTTAAATATGCAGGGTTTGTGTGTTAAACGTGTGAATGAAACAAATCACAACACAACAAAACCACATTAGAACATAAATTAGAAAATAGCGTAATATGGGCCCTTTAAATAAACTAAAGAAAATTGTGAACTGAACCTGCACAATTTATTTATTGCAAATTCCATTAAAATCTCATCACGTTTTCTTGGTCTCATATCACACCTCCACTTGTGAAAACTGTGTCTCATCCTATCCCCAACAAATACACAACTCACGTACTTTTGCAGTGTGGTATAATTGTATTCTATAGAACTCAAATTACACTACCAGTCAAAAGTTAGTGTTTTCTTTATATTTACAACTTTCTGCATTTTAGATACATAAGGAAGACATTAAAATATAGTATAACATACACTACCGGTCAAAAGTTTTAGAACATCCTAACTTTTCCTGTTATTTATTGCAGTTCAAGTTGTGCAAGTCCAGTGAAGAGCTTGAAATGGTACAAAGGTAAATACTGAATAAATAAAAACATACAAAATACAAGTAAAGATGGTAAACTTGAAAACATGGAGTGTCCAGGAGCACAGTGTCCAGACTTAAACCCCATCGAGCTGGTTTGGGATGAACTGGACTGAAGAGTGAAGCAACCGACAAGTGCCACACATTTATGGAAACTTCTGCAACAGACTTGGGAAGAACTTTCTGGACAATATTTAATTTCTATTGTAAAAAGAACAAGCCACGAGTGTGTTCAGCTGCCAAAGGTGGACACTGTCATGAATCAAAAGTTTAGGATACATTTTGGTCAACAGGAAACAGTAAACAGTAAAAAACAAGAAAACGTGTGGTGTTCTACAACTTCTGACCTGTAGTGTAGAATTAAATTTGTTTTATATTTTATATTCTAATTCAACAAAGTAGCTTTGATGCTTTCAATGGGAATTTATACAGTATGTAACTAGTCTAAACAGAAGACTGTATAAAGAAGTGGACGAAGTGAGCGCAATATCACCCATATTGTTTGGCTTCAGTCAAATGAAAGTCACAGACGCCGGCAGTTACAGGAGCAAATTTGGAGCTGAGTTCCATATTTGGAATGCTGATGAGTATCAAAGAGCCTATCAGTAGCGGGGGTGTATATTGAGTGCAGCAGATAGTTGTCTATAGCCTGATTAATCAGCCGGTTTCACTTCATGGAAACTATCTGACCTCACAACGTTAGTAATTGTTCGCTCGCCGGTAGGTGGGTACTTTTTTTACTTATCCAATCGCAGCTATTTGGTTGTGACATACGTAATGTGCCATGTAATGTGTAATATCCCGTAGGAAGAAGGACAATAATGCCTTTCCCCTTGATTAAATTCACCAAACATTCTCTGTTCGGTTTTAAATCCTCGATCTCGGGAATCGTTGCAAGCACAGAATGTCTGTCTTCGTCTACATCCATCTCGACCGCTTTGTTTACTGTTGTGCTATTCCACAAAAGGGACCCAGACAGGTGCGACAAGTTTGACATCATGGCTTCACAGCTCTTTGCTAACTGGCCAGTGTGCGGCCTACAACTTCTGGAGTTCTTGCAAACCGTCTATTGTATTCTGATTCCTGACCTAGTCACTGGAGAGAAATGAAATTGAGCGGCGGCACTAGGTGGTGCCAGCATGGCTAAGGTGTCTGTGAGTGATAGTAACAAAAATGAAAAAGTACGTCCAAACTGGCAGTGTAAGCAGAAAATATGGGACACCTATATATGTATGGTGGCATGGTCATGAACAGGGTGAACGTTTGTATTAAATAGGTATCATTACAAAAAACCCAACTGCTCTTTTTGCTCTGATGATGATAAAAATGGCTCTATTCTGTCTCTGTTCATTCAATATGGAATAATCAAGCAAAGCAAAAAGTGAAGACACTTTCAAGGACTCAATATATATATTTTGCGGGACATTTGACCTTTTTTAAATTGCACACTTTAGTACAACTTGACTTCATTTTGTGGGCATATGTTTTAAGATATTGAATTCAAAGGTGCACTGTGTAACTTGAGGTGTCATTGCTCTGTCTTGAATGTTCCACAGTGTGTCATTAAACAGCTATACCGCACATTTATTGAATTACAGGTGGTTTTATAGCTCAGAAATACCTATCAAAACTGGCATTCTGATGATGAGTGGGGTCGTGCTCCACAGATCTGACCTGTAACTTCATCTAGTTTGGTCTCCATGAAGATAGAAAAGTTTAATATCATACTGTGAAACATTCCAGACAAAGCAATAACATCTCTATGGAGCAAAGTGGGTTTTTGTCAGCTACATTTCCTTCCATAATGATCTTTTTGGAGTATAATTCTTCCTGCTCTACCCACCTCTGAGTATAAGGGACTGTCTTTCCCACGGTGCGCTCCTCGACATCTCCGGGCTAGTGTTACATAAGCGCACGCAGTATACAGTGATACAGCCCCGTGGAGTACTGCGATCGCAGAGGGGGGGAGGGGGACTGTGGGAATGTGACATCACCGGGGGCTGTGTACATTCCAAGGCTGACAGAAGCAACCCCAGTGTGAACCAAGAAGCGTTCAGAACAGTAGCGACACAACGGAACTTCGAGCGCTCCGTGGAACTTTTCTGGAGTTGGGTCTGCCATCTGCTTGTCCCCGTGGTGATTAGAGCTGGGGATCATTAAGAAGTTGCTGATACGATATATACCTCGATACTTAGGCCGCGATACGTCTCGATACAGTGAGCTTTCGATTCGATACGGTTCAATACAAAATCATGGCAAAATCATGGCTGCGATACTAAAAGTCTTTGTTAAACCACTTTATGTGCAAAGTTCATATGAAACACAAACAATTTAATCATCAAAACAGTGAATCTGTCAAATGTGTTGCATAAACAAGTGTCCTTCTTCCAAACAAGCAACAAAACTGTAGCACTGTAACAAAGTCATTTAGTAAAATATACCAAAAAATACTCTTGGTGACATATCGATACTGTATCATCAGGTCATCAAATTTTGAGATTTTTGCACACCCCTAGTGGTGATGTTACTGTTTTGCCTGGAATGGTCTACAGAATGGCACCAGGCCAAGTCACAGGTATGATCTGTGGAGACGCGAGCCCCACAGTAAGAACACTTCGGGGGTTGGTGTATTGTTTAAGTCAATAAATTAAGTACACTGAAGTAGCTGCACCTGTTTAGATAGATAGATAGATAGATAGATAGATAGATAGATAGATAGATAGATAGATAGATAGATAGATAGATAGATAGATAGATAGATAGATAGATAGATAGATAGATAGATAGATAGATAGATAGATAGATAGATAGATAGATAGATAGATAGATGGATGGATGGATAGATAGATAGATAGATAGATAGATAGATAGATAGATAGATAGATAGATAGATAGATAGATAGATAGATAGATAGATAGATAGATAGATAGATAGATAGATAGATAGATAGATAGATAGATAGATAGATAGATAGATAGATAGATAGATAGATAGATAGATAGATAGATAGATAGATAGATAGATAGATAGATAGATAGATAGATAGATAGATAGATAGATAGATAGATAGATAGATAGATAGATAGGATGGATGGATGGATGGATGGATGGATGGATGGACAGATAGATAAAGGGCCCATATTACATTACTTTCTGATGTGATAATGTTGTTTCCTCATCACAAACAGACCTGGAGTTGTGTTTTGTTTCATTCACACACTCATCCTGCATATTTAAGATGAGTTCTCTGAAAACACTCAGTTACTCTATCCACTCTGAGTAGAATCATTTGGATAATTTCACCCTTGGAATCACCAATCTCTACTGAACTAAAGTTAAAATGTAGCTGTTAACTTGAAAACCGCCGCTTCGTGACTTCACGAGGTGGAACAGAACATTCTGAGCTTTAGAGATGTAGACAGATTAATAATAAAGGCTTACACTGACTTACATGAATGAAACAAAACAAAACACAACTCCGGGTATGTTTTTGATGAATTAACAACATTCCAACATGACTTCAAGCTCACAACAGTCAATTTTGCGTAATATAGAGCCTTTAAGTCCCTCCCTTAGGAAAAAAAAACAAAACTTCTCTATACTTGCGCCAGTTTATCCATTCAGTAATATTTAAAAAAAAAACTTACATAAGCCCTTTTAACTGTGTCTGCTACATTTCTGTGTGACGTCCAGTGTCCTCGGGGGTATCTACGAAAAACAAAGCGTCAACACAGCGCGCCGCTCCGCTTCTGAACTGCACTTTTCCTATTTAGGCCTGCCAAATGTTCAGAAGGGCCTTCATCACTGCGCAGCCTCGTAACGCTGTGTAGCCATGACCGGGTGCCGACGACTCT